AACCCCTTAGTTCCTGAAATTTAACTAAGATGCGTGAATTAGAGTGCAGAGCCGGTCTCAGAGGACGGAGAATCCTCTGCTGATCGTTCCTCTTGCCTTTGATGTGGAGTCTTTGATTTCTCTACCTTCCTGCTCCCCGCCTCACTCTATCTGCCTCCGCGCCAGCCTCCTCAGCCCCAGCCCCACCTCCCTTGCCGCTCACCCATCAAAGGAAGGCAAGATCTGGTAAGGAACTCCTGAGCTTGTCTGCCCCAAACAAAAGGAGCCAGGGAAGGGAGACAAAGACAGAGAGCCGCATCAGGGGAGGGAGAACGGAGCTCCCGAGACGAAGTCAGCTGAGGCTCATGTCGGGCGGCTCCCAGGGTAACCTGGCTCGGTCACTCACAGCATCACAGACACAGTCTGGGTCAAGCTTACCCCGTGTGACCACACTCTCAACCGAGCTAAAGAGTCTGGGGGAAAGTCTTGGACAGAACGTGACATTTAACACCAGCTCTGCCTTGGGCTTCAGGCGGTAAAGAATCTGCCTGCAATGCAGGAGACCTGGGTTTGATCCCTGGGTCGGGAAGATTCCCCTGGAGAAGAGAATGGCTATCCACTCCAGTGTTCTTGCCCGGAGAATCCCATGGACAGAGGAGCCTGGCAGGCTACAGTCCGTAGGGTCGCAAGGCGTCAAACGTGACTGAGCGTGTCTTTCACTGTCTGCCTTGGAATCGTTGAGTCAGGGGCCACACATCTTTTTATTTCCTTGTTTCTTTATCTCCGCCTTGACTTCCATCTCTGGATGATTTGAGAAGGAAGAATAATAATAGCTCATCTTTCTGAATATTTATTACAATCCAGGCACTATTCTGAGCCTTTTAGATGCTTAGAATGTTGGATTCACCCATTTAATATTCTAACCACTTTGTGAAGTGAGAACTATCATTATTTCCATTCGTGACAGATAAGAAAACTGGGTTCCAGCAAAGTTAAGTAACTCACCCAAGGTCACACAGCCAGGAAAAATGAGAATTTGCTCCAGGCAGTCTCATTCCCGACTTTCTGCTCTTTACACCCACCATGGCTCTCAAGCAAGATCATCAACATGAATAAGTCCTATTACATGTGACACCCCCATTTAAGAATTTATTATTTATCAACCCGCTTTCCCCTGGCTCTTAGCATCTCCCCATGTTTCTCACAGTATTTCTATCCCAGGGATACCAAGGGACCCAGAAGGGAACCCAGGACACAGCACACAGCTACTCAGATGCTATTCAGTTAGATCCCACCCAGGAGAGCTGCTGGGGAATGAGTGAAGAACAGTAAGATGATGGAGGAGCTAGAGCTCCAAGCTAGAGTTTTCCTTTTAATCTTTTTTTTTTCTCTCTCTCTCTTTTGGCCGCACTGGGAGGCATGTGTCATCTTAGTTCCCCAAGCAGAGATCGAACCTGAGCACCTGCATTGGAAGCACAGGGTCTTAACCCGTGGACCACCAGGGAAGTCCTCTAGGCTAGAGCTTATTGATCGCTCAGTTAGTAATAAAAATAAGTGATGTTTGTTGAGCGCTAATCACATGCAGGCATCATTTGATGCTGTCCTACCTGGCACGTGGCCCCTACTGACCCTCGCCTCCTGATATTCTTCCCCTTGTTGAGTTCCTTCCTGCACTGAATCAGGGCTGACCTGTGTGACTAGGACATTTATATGGTGGAAGTGGCAGTGTGTGAAGGCATCACAGCTTCCTCTTTGGTGTCTTGGAAAGGAGCTGAGGCCTCAGGCCAACAGCCCCAAGAGTGCACCGTCCTGGACACAGATCCTCCAGCCCTACTGGGGCCTTCAGATATTGCAGTGATGGCCAATATCTGACTGTGCCCTCATGAGACACCTTGAGTGGGAATGCCTGATGCAACACCCCTGAATTCCTGACATCCGAAGCATCAGAACAAAAAAAATCCCCCCCCAATGGTGAATGCCTTGCTTTGTCCTGTTGGGGTGCCCTGCACCCTGAGATTTCCAGCTCTCACTGCCAAGCTCTCAAACTGGAAAATGAAGCCATCAGAACTGGGCCAAAGCCCCATGCTTCCGGCATGCCAAGGCTGGAAGTGGCTGGCCATACCCCAGAGGCGCTATTTTATCCCATGCACCCCCAAAGAGCATGCAGCCAACAGATTGCAGCTCAGGCCTCTCTGGGCTGTCCACCCCAGCTGTTCCTGCCACGGCAACCGGCCCCTTCCCGTGCGCCCCCTGATATCCAGATGGCAGCAGACACAGCAGTAAAGACGGCTTCCGTCAGGCAGCTCCCAGGCCAGCTGTGTGTCTGATGAAGCAGAGAGCCCGGCAGACACAGCCTATCTGGAGGGCTCACAAAGGCAGCGCACAGCCAGCCACAAAACATCGGCGGGCTTTATCCTCAGCCCAGCCAAGTGAGTTTGCTGTGTTGATTCCCAAGTATGTTCAATGATGTTATAACGACAACCACTATGATTGAGCACTTAAGTGTCAGGTATCCTGTGCTCCATCCACCCTTTGGTGGAGATGTGAAGTGAAGTGGCTCAGTCATGTCCGACTCTTTGCGACCCCATGGACCCTACCAAGCTCATGGAAATTTCCAGGCAAGGATACTGGAGTGGGTTGCCATTTCCTTCTCCAGGGGGGATCGAACCTGAGTCTCCTACATTGCAGGCAGACGCCTTACTGCCTGAGCCACCAGGGAAACCTGATGGAGATAGTGTTGTTATCATCATTCTGTTTATTGTGCTGCTTCCCATGTCAGGAAAAGGGCTTCCCAGCTGGCACGGGGTAAAGAACCCGTCTGCCAATGCAGGAGATGTAAGGGACACAGGTTCTATCCTTGGATTGGGAGGATCCCCTGGAGGAGGGCAGGGCAACCCCCTCCAGTGTTCTCGGGGCCTGGGGCACTGTTCCGGTGCTCCAGAGACACTTGACATAAATCACAGCAATACCTTTTCCAAGTCATCTCCTAGGATGATGGAAATAAAACAAAAATAAACAAATGGGACCGAATTAAACTCAAAAACTTTTGCACAACAAAGGAAACAATAGACAAAATGACACCCTCTTAAATTATGTGCCCAAGACAAGTGTCCTGTTTGCCTCACCCTAGTTCATGTCTTGATGGGCCTTTCTTATGGGGTCTTAGCTCCCCGACCAGGGATCGAACCTGGACCCTTAGCAGTGAAAGCTTGGAGTTTTAACCACTGGCCCCCCAGAGAATTGTCTAGATAGGACTTTCAAAGTGAGGACTGACGCATTGTGAATAAATTACTGCCTGATTACACATGGGGATGCTGAGGTTGGGAGGGTGTGTAATTAACCTGAGGTCACGCTGCAGGTGTCTTGGGCTGGATTCAGTCCCAGACTTGCCTGGCCCCAGTGCCTCTGTTCTTCCCATCACTCCAACCTGCCCCTGGAGCACCTCCTCGGTCACTTAGGCATGTGTGCCTGCAGGAGGAAAGTGGTTCTCAGATTGGACTTCTCTGTTCTCAGAACTGCCCACCAGAGATGGCCAGAAACCCACCCTGGGACTCTGCTCTACCAAATGAGCACAGCGTGGGCACAGATTCTGCAGCACCACCAGCCTCACTGGCCCTGCAGCGCAGAGGTAAAAGGGGGAGAGGACCCCCAAACCATAAAGGCCCCAAAGGAGCCCCTTCCCCACTGAAGGTGCTGAGGCAGCAGCATCGTGTACTGTCACCCACTCACCCAGCAGCCTAGGGAGGACAGAAGCAATAACTCCTTTGTAATTGGTTTCCCCGCTGAGGAGCCAGATGGATGGTCTACTGGATGGAAGCTGTAGAGGCATTCTTGCAAATGGAGTTCTTTCTCTGTCTCCTGTGTGAGGCCTCAGCTGGGTGTGTAGTGTCTCCAAGGAGACGGCCGATCTGGGGAAGAACAGGAAGAGGCTTGGCCTCTGCCCTGCCCCTGGTTGGACATATCCGTGTCCTGGCTCTGGCTGAGAATCACAGGGCTCTGGGGTCAAGTCTCTTGGGGACTGAGTGACAGGGATCAGTTGAGCACTAATAGGAGCCTGGGAAGGTACCAAAAAGAGCAGCCAAAGTCTTCTAACCCACGGGCGGCTCATGTTTGCTTCAGAGGCCCAGAGCAGAACATGGGGTTCCTGTGGGCATCTCAAGCCAAAATATAAACCATTCTCTGGGAAGGAAGGAGGACTCGGCCCCAGCGTAAGCCATCAATTCACTGCCATTGGCATCTGCTGGCCCCAGGCCTCTTCTCGAGGGTTAGTGTCACTGACCCTGGGAACTGAAGCTGCAGCTCCCAGCACCGCCGTTGCAGAGCACAGGCGGCCTGGGGCCCTGGGAGGTGCCGTCTCCTTGGATATGGACCCAAGCTGGGAGGTCTTCAGTGGACAGTCATTCTCCTCCCACTGCCTCTGACCTTTGAAACACAACACTGCAAATGCCCAGCCCAGGAGGGCCAGAATTAAGAAAGGGGCAACAATTAAGAAATAATGGTGGTTTTCCCTGGTGGCTCAGATGGTAAAGAATCTACCTGAAATGTGAGAGACCCAGGTTCGATCCCTGGATCGAGAGGGTCCCCTTGGAGGAAGAAATGGCAACCCACTCCAGTATTCTTGATGGAGAATCCCATGGACAGAGGAGCCTGGCGGGCTACAGTCCATGAGGTTTCAAAGAGCTGGACACGACTGACGCCTCACACACTCACACACACACAAGAAATAATGGTAGAAATGGTATTGAGATGAGGAAGCATTTGGCTTGAGGACAGTTATGTAACACGGCATCAGTGACTTATGCTTGAACTTAAAACATTTATTATGCTACAACCTGTGCAGGTCTGAAGTTCAGGAGCTGATTCACTGGGTCCTCTGCCTCAGGGTCTCTTGGAAGACGGAAATCCTGGCGTCAGCGATGGTCTAATCCGAAGGCTTTGCTGGGGTGGGTACACTTCTCAGCTCACATGACCATTGGTAGCAATCAGTTTCCAGCTGTTGGCTGAAGGTCAACACTCCCTTGATGGACGGTCCTCTCCAACAGGACAGGCGTATTAGAGATAGAGAGAGAGAATACCAGCAAGGCAGAAGTCACAAAATCTTTGATAACCTAATCACTTTTACTGTATTCTCTTGGTTAGGAGCAACCAAGCCCCAGCCAACACTCAAGGGGAGAAGATTACACAAGGGCAGGAATACCTGGAGGCAGCGATCATTGGAGCCATGTCAGAATCTGCCCATCATAGCTGGTTTGCACAGAACAAGTTATACTTCCATCTTTCCAGATGCCTTTAATTACCTGCCCGTGGCCCTGCGAGACACTGGCCATAATAGCCTGGACCAGAATGATGCCTGGGGCTCAGCCCTATTAGATGCTGTGACCCAGGTAGTTTGAATGGAAGACTCAGAGAAAGGCAATAATCATTCCTTATTCTAAAGGAATTCTAGGCACTGGGTCCACAGTAATACATGACGGACATAGTCTTTGCTTCATGGCGTGAAATAGGGAGAAGTAGAGAGATGCACAAGGCAATGGCAAGAATGAGGAAGCATCAGTGGCCATGAAGAAAGTAGCATCCATGAGGTTGTGAGAAGAGGGAGAAGGGTAAAATAATGCACGGAAGCAAGAAGCAGAGGCACAGACACAGGTGAGCCTCCCTAGGGCAAGCCCAGGTATAAGGAGAAATGCATCCATTTACTAGCTTAGCAACTAGCTTAACTTCACTAAAGAGCTACCGTCTTCCCTGAAAATTCTGGAGATCAAGGTCACAGATTGAGTTGCTTGCCTGTCATTGAACCTAGGGGCCAGAGTTCTGATCAGCCACCTCTGAGTCACCTGCTAGTCTGAAGAAGAAGGGGGACAGAGCTGAGGTCAACTTCACTTAAACCACATGAAAAGACTCTAGAGCTACCAAGGTAGACAAGAACAACAGCTATGTGCTATACCTGGAGTTTAGAGGAAGGAAGGGGGGGAGGGGACCTGTTGGCTATTGATGTCTGCCCAAGAGGCACCGCTGAACAGATTTTGGAAAGCTGCTCTTCATTTCCTGTGCATTGTGGGGCATTCATACTTCTGTTGTTTGCAACACCTACAGGCAGTCCTTTCAGCAAGCTCTGCATTCTGAGTGCACAGAACGCCTTTTGGACTCTGGACCAGCAGGTTAAGCCAGAAAGTCAGATGTTTGTTTCCATTTTTAACTTATTTATTTTTATAGGATTATTTGTTGAAAAATGTCTCAATTGGCAATTCATTCTCATTTATTGTTTTCCAATTCCCTTATTTTTTAGGTCAGTTCAGTTCAGTTCAGTCGCTCAGTCGTGTCTAACTCTTTGCGACCCCTTGAACCGCAGCACACCAGGACTCCCTGTCCATCACCAGCTCCCGGAGACCACCCAAACCCATGTCCATCGAGTCGATGATGCCATCCAACCATCTCATCCTCTGTTGTCCCCTTTTCCTCCCGCCCTCGATCTTTCCCAGCATCAGGGTCTTTTCAAAGGAGTCAGTTCTTCACATCAGGTGGCCAAAGTATTGGAGTTTCAGCTTCAGCATCAGTCCTTCCAATGAATATTCAGGCTGATTTCCTTTAGGAAGGACTGGTTGGATCTCCTTGCAGTCCAAGGGTCTCTCACGAGTCTTCTCCAACACCACAGTTCAAAAGCATCAATACTTCGGCGCTTAGCTTTCTTTATAGTCCAACTCTCACATCCGTATATGACTACTGGAAAAACCATAGCTTTGACTAGATGGACCTTTGTTGGCAAAGTAATGTCTCTGCTTTTTAATATGCTGTCTAGGTTGGTCATAACTCTTCTTCTGAGGTGGAAGCATCTTTTAATTTCATGGCTGTAGTCACCATCTGCAATGATTTTGGAGCCCAGAAAAATAGCCAGCCACTATTTCCACTGTTTCCCCATCTATCTGCCATGAAGTGATGAGGACCAGATGCCATGATCTTAGTTTTCTGAATGTTGTGCTTTAAGCCAACTTTTTCACTCTCCTCTTTTACTTTCATCAAGAGGCTCTTTAGTTCTTTACTTTCTGCCATAAGGGTGGTGTCATCTGCACATCTGAGGTTATTGATATTTCTCCTGGCAATCTTGATTCCAGTTTGTGCTTCTTCCAGCCCAGTGTTTCTCATGATGTACTCTGCATATAAGTTAAATAAGCAGGGTGACAATATACAGCCTTGATGTACTCCTTTTCCTATTTGGAACCAGTCTGTTGTTCCATGTCCAGTTCTAACTGTTCCTTCCTGACCTGCATACAGGTTTCTCAAGAGGCAGGTTAGGTGTCTGGTATTCCCATCTTTTTCAGTATTTTCTGCAGTTTATTGTGATCCACACAGTCAAAGGCTTTGGCATAGTCAATAAAGCAGAAATATATGTTTTTCTGGAACTCTCTTGCTTTTTCTATGATCCATCGGGTGCTGGCAATTTGATCTCTGGTTCCTCTGCCTTTTCTAAAACCAGCTTGAACATCTGGAAGTTTATGGTTCATGTATTGCTGAAGCCTAGCTTGGAGAATTTTAAGCATTACTTTACTAGTGTGTGAGATGAGTGCAATTGTGCGGTAGTTTTTTACATCAGAAGACATTAAAAAAGGAAATAGATTCCCTTGACCTTGATTGTAGGTCTACCCCAGAATATCATTGGAGGTTTCCTGGAGTCCCTGTTGATGTATAATTTTGTTTGCAAATTAGCCAAACCTCCCTGAAGCAGTGGAGTCTTGCACTGGCTCTTGAAAGCCTCCTTACTCAGTACTGCATTTGATCATGTCATGTTGTTCTCTTGGAATTGGCCAGGGTGGGAGTATTTATACCAAAGTGAAGTCCCTTAGTCGTGTCCAACTCTTTGAGACCCAGTCTCCCCCGTCCAGGGGATTCTCCAGGCCAGAATACTGAAGTGGGTTGCCATTTCCTTCTCCAGAGGATCTTCCTGACCCAGGGATCGAACCCAGGTCTCCTGCATTGTAGGCAGACGCTTTACTATCTAAGCCACCAGTGAAGTCAATTATACCATGAAATATACAAATGCTGTAGTTCATGCCTTCGCTTCCAGGTTGAAAGCTGGTGGTTAAATATATACCAGCATACCACTACCTCTAAGGAAAAGACTTCTCAAATGACCATATTTTAGTACTTTCTTATTTTTCTTGCCCTTTCAGGGTCTTTGAAAGAAATTGTGGCATAGTTGGATTCTTTAGTTTCTCTCTTTATCTCACCTCCGCTGCTAGTTTCAGTATTATTCCCTCACCGAGGGACTAACAATTAAGTAAACTAGCTGGTAAATATCCGATAGCCCAGAACAATTGGTCTAGCAAAATAATAAATTCTACAGCAAATTTCTGTTTTCCTGAGGTTTACAAAAATACTATAATTATAGCCTTCAATTTAGCCCTAGACCGTGGTTAAATTTCAGCTGCTATAGATGTGCCTTCTGGTCTAGCAGTTTTAAGGGGATATTTTGTAACGTTATTGTGCTTTTCCTGAGACAAACTCACTTAGGAAGTCAGGAGAAAGAGCAGAAGAAAGAGAGGGACCTAAGTGAGTGGGGACCATGAAGTTGAAACAGTGATGCAAAGAGCAGAAAACTCTGAGAGCCTGGACAGGAGTGAAATAGAAAGGCTTCCAGACAGACTCTTAGAGTCAGTGTTTTGTTTTGAGTCCTTAGCGTATCAATCGAAGAAACTGATTATTGAATTTTTAAAATTGAAATATAGCCGATGTGTAGTATTATGTGAGTTTTAGGTATACTACATGATATAGACATACATTATGAAATGATCTCCACAGTAAGTCTAGGAACCATCTGTGTCCATACAAAGTTGCTGACTGTTGAACTTTTAATATATTTTCTCATAATTTTCTGAAGTTGTTGTTAAATGCGTTAATTCCCTCATTTTGACATCTCAAACTTCCTTCAAACGGTTAATTATTCCAAGTTTTATGGGCTGGATTGTGTCCCCATAAAAATCATCTGTTGAAGTCTTAGCTCTCAGTACCTCAAAGTGTGACTGTATTCAGAGACAGCGTTTTTAAAGAGGTGATTAAGTTTAAATGAGATAATTAGGCTGGGCCCTTCTCGAGGATTTTTATCTTTTCTAAGAAGAAGAGGTTAGAACACAGACACAGAGGGAAGGCCATGTGAAGACCCAGAGAGACAACAGCTCACTACAGGCCAAGGATAGAGGTCTTAGAAGAAACCAAACTTGCTGACACCTTGGTCTTGAACTTCAAGCTTCCAGAGTTGTGGGAAAATAAATTTCTGTAGTTTAAACAGCCTAGTCTGTGATACTTTGTTATGGCAATCCTCACAAACTAATACACTAAGAAGAAAAATGTTTTGCCATTTACCTAATTAAATGCAAATTCATTTGAGGAGTAGGAATTCTGCCAAGAGGACGTTGAGGCTTTGACATAGCCAAACCCATGACAAAGAGACAAACCACTATGGTTGGTCAAAAAGTATATGTGTTTATGAATGTTTTTTTCAGATGCCCCAACCAAGAACATGTTAGGGAGGGGTGAGATAATCAATAACCCAACAATTATTGACCTTAGAATAGATTGAGCAAAGTGACCTTCTTTTACAAATTGATAAGACAGGGACTATCCTCATAAAATTTTGAAGGGGACCCAGAGCAGAATTTAATGCATAACTTTTGCATGAATTGATTGCTGGTCTCCGAACCTCCAGCTTATAGTCCTCAGGACTCGTGTGAATTGAATTGGAGCCTATGCCTCCAACTCTCCCCATGGAGCCTCTTTATGTATTCAACAGACGCCAGTCAATCCAAGTCAAAACAAAGACACACACGACAAGACTTTACAAGTAGTCGTGCTAAGTTGCTTCAGCCGTGTCCGACTCTGTGACCCCATGGACTGTGGCCTTCCAGGTTCCTCTGTCCATGGGATTTTCCAGGTAAGAATACTGGAGTGGGTTGCCATGGCCTCCTCCAGGGGATCTTCCTGACCCAGGGATCGATCCCGCATCTCTTACATCCCTTACATCACTATTGCCACATGGGAAGCCCAATTCTGGCACCAGGTCCATGGCCTGCCTCCTCAGAAACAGTCAAACAAGAATCAAAAGCAAAGCAAGCAGGAAAAGAATAAACAAATTAATGGCAAAAATAGTCACCAAATGGTACAACTCCAAAATAGTTCTCATTATGTGATGACTGAGACCTAATTTTCTTGTTCAAGAACCATTTGGTTACAAATCCTAAGATAATAAATTCAGCAAAGACATTTTAATGGAATGCATCAGGGGAGTCTATAGTCACTACTCTTGGGCACAAAGTTCAGGTGCATGAATCTGTTGGACTGAGGACCTTCAAAATAATTTCATTGGAACCTCCAGACTTATCAAAGGAGAAAACCACTGCTCAAAATCTGAAAATATTTCTTATTTATTTACTTTTGGCTGTGCTGGGTCTTCGTTGATGTGCACGGTTTTCTTTAGTTGTGGCACGTGGGCTTCTCATTGATGTTGCTTCTCTTGTTGAGGTTCGTGGTCTCGGGGTCAGTAGTTGCAGCACATGGGCCTAGTTGCCCCGTGGCATGTGGGATCTTCCTGGACCAGGGATAAAACCTGTGTCCCCTGCATTTGCAGGCATATTCTTAACCACTAGGCCACCAGGGAAGTCCTGAAAATATTTCTTAAGTAAAGGAAGAGCCATACTGATCATGCAAATTTCTCTAAGCAAAGCAAACTGCTGGTCTTTTATGGATTGTTGGGAAGAGTGTATTTGGGGTTGGGTTGGTTTTAGAGGCAGGATAGGTTGATGTCAGCCTTGGAAGTGTGTTCACAGAAGGCAGTCCACCAGCAAGTTGGCTGCCTTCCACACCATGATGACCGTCACTAATAGCCTGGCTTTCAGAGTTGTGTTCATTGAAGTGACTTCTCACTCATTAATTCATCAGGTATAGAATTGTCATTGACAGGTTGAAAGCTATTTCTGGTGGAAACTTGTACCATGACTATAGAATAATCAGTCCTTTCCTAGGAGTGTGGGACCACCATGTAACAATCTTTATATCTTTTATTTTGTTTATTGAGTATCTCTTACCTCAAGGAGAGAGATACACTGGATTTCCAGCATCCAGACGTGTCTGGCACAGCATGCTAGGTTGCTTCAGTCCTGTCTGACTCTTTATGACCCCATGGACTGTACCCCACCAGGCTCCTCTGTCCACGGGATTCTCCAGATAAGCATACTGGAGTGGGTTGCTGTGCCCTCCTCCAGGGGATCTTCCCCACTCAGGGATGGAACCTGTGTCTCCTGCGGCTCCTGCATTGCAGGCGGATTCTTTACCGCTGAGCCACTGGGGAAGTCCTCTGGCACACAGTAGGTATACAACAGATATTTGTTCAATGAATGAATAATCCTGACCTCCATATCTCGACCTGTAGAATCTTTCAGGGAAGATACGGTTTTCTATTTGAATTACTTAGCAAAAAATCCATTACTCCAGACACTGGGCTGGATCTAATCATGATAAATGCTTTTGAATTGAGGGTGATTAACGAGCTGTGGGATAAAGCTAAGTGTGTGCAGTGTGC